ACCCCCTTGCATCTTTTTAAAATTCTAAAGTGACACTGTCCAAGACATCCACCTGTCTAAGACAAAATTTTTCTCGACAACGGATGGCCCTATTGGAAACTTTCGACTGTATAACATCAGCCAGGTTTACTTGATTCTGTGAGTGCAGTTTTCATTGCATAATCTATCACATCCTAGTAAACATCAAGTCCTTTCTAGTGGCAGATCCGGACATAGCAAACGGCAGAGTGAACTGTTCTTCAGTGTCAGGCATGGTGATAATTCTGAGCCAAAAACTAGCATTTTCAGAAGCCATTAATTAGTATTTAGTCATTTTGTCCCGACTCATCCGAACCACACATTATCATGATCGATCATTTGGCATGTTGTAATAATGTGAAGACAATTTCAAACATGGTTGTTCGTAACCATATCAACAATTCAGAAAACAAAGTTAAAACTTGGAAATCTTGGAGAAAAAAATCTCACTTCACCTAAATGTCAAAGATAAAAATTCTTTAGAAAATGATAAAACATAAACAATGGTACGTCTGTAAAATAAAAAGACTAACATAAGCTTACACAGACAAATCATGACCTTTGCTCTACGAGTATGTGTAAATTTCTTTGTAAATGCCGATTTCCTATGGCCCAACCCTCCCAATGTTAATCATCCACCAGTCAGAGTCGATTCTTTCCTCCTCACAGGAAGCTCCTATGGTATTTCTTAGCTAAGCCAGAAAAGACCTATATGGAAACTGCAACCATTCTATTCATTTTTCTTAACCTAAAAGCTACAAGCTATTCAAAATATATCACATATAAAAGTTGGAATGTTTGATGATTGTAAAGGAGAAGCAAAAAGTTTATGTCCAACTGTGAAAGAACTTCTGTAGATAATACTTATGTCACAAACATAACATGATCAACATTAGACATACACTTGAATAAAAACCAGTTTACACTGCATAACAAACACTACTATGTCCTCAGCATACTATGTGCAACATGTGTATTTACACACAAACTACACACTTCTGCAAATACAATAATCATTGGCAATATCAAAACACTTTTTTTTAGCGACAAAGTTCGTTGTTTGACTGATGCAACACGACAGAAATCTACCACCTTGAACAAGAACAATACCAAAAAGTGGATTTCTTTCAAACTGTGCGTTGTCATGAACTAGCTGCTCTCATCAAGACCTGGACAAAAGTATTGACATATTCAATAAAGGGGAAAGAAACAGGAGTAGCCAGTCTTGAACATCAAATCAGTATTTTACAATCGATCAAGAGAGTCCACCTCCATCTCTGACTCTTTGTGTCAGGTGTGAAAACGACAAAATAAAAAAGCCACATCAACCCGTTAAAATGTATTCAGAAGTCCGAAAAGAAAGAAAAGAAGGACGTCAAGCCCATATACCAAAAAAAAATCAAAGAGAGGAGGCGGGAAGGTGTTGAATGTTGGGAACAGAAGCAGATGTGGCTTCAAATGAGACTTGAACTTAAGCATAAAACACATAGTGTAAACAATCTATACACTCAGCAAGATTCATTGTCATACTTGAAAAAAAGCATCTTGAGGTGAATAATACAAAGCTGTCTCGGAAATACAGAAGTACAACAAATTCTCTCCATTCTTCCCGCTACCAACAGTCTACACAACAATAAAGAGGCTGATTTTGTAAATATAGAGATTAAAACATATGAGGGGGTGAGATGCAAAACCCGCTAGACAAAATTTTGGGGGAAAAATTGAGATTTTTTGCTTATATAATAAATGCACATTGTTACCAAATATCAGATGCACAAAGTGTTTTCGACCAAAACCCAACACATACTTCATAAAAGCAACCAAAAATCCTTTTACGAATGTTCGTGTGTATAGATTTAGTAGCATTTAAAAAAGCTAATTTTTTCAAAAGTGCTAAACTGAATGTAGCGGGTTTTGCATCTCAGCCCCTCATATATTTATGTAGTGTTGGTACAAACTCTACATCAGGACATCAGACTTTGTTTACCTTCATCAAATCACAGATCTTTGACATTTAAAATTTTCATGGAAATTAAAAATATAAATGAAGAGTTCTTCAAAGATAATATGAAAAGTGAGTGGTAAATCTCCAGAGTTTTAAAAAAAAATTGTATTTCATTTTCACATCACATTATAGCTTGCACCATAGTCATGTCCATGAATATTTCCTTCATCATAATTTGGTGAGACCATCATTGCTTGAGAGTGAGCCTTTGTTGTTCTTCGAGTGGTTTGGAACGTCTATTACAGAAATGTGCGGCTTGGATGTAAATGTTCCAGAGTGCATGCGAAGTCCCTGTGAGGAAAGCATCGGCCCATCATAAGCATAGCGGCTCCTCTGAAAGAACAAAGAAAACAAAGGAATGAGGCTTCATAGCAAAAGACGTTTTCTGAACAAAGACTAATAATAATAATAATCATGATAATAGTTTGTTCGTTCACCATGAACTGATGATGACGTTTTAATATCTTTAGAAGAAAAGAAGTTATAGAATTTGCTAGCACAACAAAGACTATGATCAGAGTATCGACCAATAAAAGAAAATCTGAGCTCTCCTGAGAGAAAAAAAAAGAGAAAGAAAGAAGTCGTTAACAATATAACTATATGTAACAAACACTGAGACTATGATATCCATCAATATTAGAGAACATGACAAGAAAAAACAAAACAGAGACCCTTATCCCTTTCATAATTTCTGCTGTAAAGTAGGCCTACAGTGAAACCATAAAGGCTCATGAAAATAAAATCTTCACAGTCTATCAACAAACTTGCTGAAATAGATTTACTTGGTGAAACTGATTTTGTAAATGCAAACAATTTCTGTCTTAATTGAACCAGACTTGCCAACCTGTAAGAAATTGGATATTCTAGTACGCAAAACTGTCGGCAATACACAAATACACGTCAAAACAATCAAATACACAACTTTTGATTTTCTGGTAAGCAAGATCACCATTGCTCTAAACCCGCTGCTGAGCCCTATTCGGATTGTAAAACTTGTCCAAAGTCTCTACCTCTCCTTGAGGAAGGCCTGGAATTAGTCGGTGTTGCCCGATTCAAGTACTCATCGTGAGTTGAGAATATGCGAGCAATTGCCAATACCTCTTGTATTTCTCTATCAAGTATCGGAATTGGAAATTAATTAGCATTTGATAATGGTCGATCAGGTCTTTGGGTTTTTTTACAGCTGAAATCCCAGCATTTCATTTTAAAGATAAGCAAAACCATGATTCCCCAGCCTGAAAAATAAGCAAAGTGAATTTGGGGGGTTGGCAAGTCTGTTGAACCAACTTACGCAGTTATTTCTTGTGTCATGACATGGTTTCCAATCACAGAATACGATTTTAGAGATAATATAATAACATACATAGCCTTTGTAAGCACAAATTCCCACTCAACAGCAAGCTCTATGCTCGTTACATTTTATATTATAATCCTGGCAGACTTGATAGCATTGTCAAACAAATCCTTTTACAGGCCCTAAAACACTTAACATACTGACAAGATCTTTTGTTGTCAATGGCCAGATACCAAAAAATTGGTGTAAAACGCCTTTCCCAAGGACACAACATCAGGCCGAGCTACGTCTCGAACCCCTGAACCGTCAACTTCACTATTCAAAAGATCTTGTCAGTATATCAGTGTTCTAGCATCTATGAAATGGCAGCTTGCAAAGTATGCTTCCCAAGAAATTGACATTGTTTCAGAATGCTATCAGTTCTACTGGGGTAATATAGATTGTAAAGCACATAGAGCTTGCTGATGAGTAGGAATTAGCGTTGTACAAATGTTATCTATTAATAATATTATTATTAGAATTTGCAAGTCCAGTGGCCTAACCAGTAGGCTAAGACAGCCACCTCATTTTATGTACCACCACTCAGTCCGAGAATGTTATACCGCAAATTGAAAACTTCGGACTGTATAAATTTGAGAACCCACCTCACACTGACACAATCCTCGATAAGAAAATTGACACAAACTCCATCCAAACTAGTTTGATGATGGGAACTTGCCCCACACTACCAGGCCCATACCAAAATGGATTTGAAGTTTTTTTTTTAAGAAAAGGATTATGCAAAAATTACATTAAAATTTGTTGGACCAGGTATTTCAGCACTGAAATAAAACCAAGCAACAACAATATTATAAATTATATTGATATAATGTAGCTTACTATCCCTTTTTTTTAAATGTGGAGAAGACAAAAATACCGTAGAAATGAACAGCATGAAGATGAAAAGCTACATAATGAAAGTCTTCAGTCAACCGTTCAGTGTATTGCAATTCTCACTATCTTTGAAATTCCATTCATGAATTGAAGGCAAAGATTTTTATTTCAGTGAAGGGAAATAACCCAGACATTCGTCAAGCTTTGAAAGGGGACAGCAGAGTTTAACATCCCCTTTTTTGGGGGGGTCCAGGCACGGCATAAAAATAGGGTAGTTATCTATACGACAACATATTTGCATTGCAAGAAAAATTAGTAAATGTGTCTCGACACCATGAAATCAGACATTTCTCAATTTTGGGGCATATGGAGCTTTCGGTGTAATATTAAAGCCTGTTCATTTGCCTTGTTTTTTAATGAAAAAAATAACCATATAATAGGCCTATCTTAAATAGAAGTCCACATATTTGTAATTGAAGAAGGTGCATGGGGGTCTCCTGTCACCACAGGTAAAATTAGCGAGAAAATAGCTGTCAAAATTTGGCAAGTTCCAAAACTAGAATGTTCGTGCAAACTGCAAATTTACATATTTTGTGCCTTTGATCAACACTTTTCAATAAAAATCCAAGCAAGAATGTGTTTTTAAAAAAGACATAAAAGGTTTTGAGTCAAAAGCAAAAACTTTAATAAAAATAACCCAACATGCAGAAAAATGTCTGGGTTTTTTTTTCTTATTTTGATGAGCATCTGATTTCACCACGAAGCCATACAAATATGTTTAACCTTGCTCTCTGTGGTGAGAAGAAAAAATCACTGCTGCAAGCTGACAAAAAAACTTTTTTTCATTTTTGGTGCCAAACTTGCTAAATTGAAAGCCTGTTGAGTCACCCTACTTGTGTGAAAAAAATCAAAGAGAAACTGTGACTAGTTTCTGAATAAATTCAAATTCAAATTTTAGAAGAAAGCCTTTTTTAAATGGTGACACTGACGAAAAAGCCTCTTAATCTCGAAACTGCTGTGAATAAAAATAAAGGCGTTGTGTCAGCCTATGACAGATCAGCAGTTCACTTCCCTTCGGACAATGACACTAACCGTGAGTTTCAAGTGAGGTACAAAGCAAAAACTGAGAGTGATGGTGCTGTGATTGCTTTGTTGAGAAAGTGGCACATGTCAAACGGACAAAGCATGAGCTAGATTCCTTCTGGTTACTCAGTGTCTACAAAACAAACAACATGAAGAGAATACCCACTAACAAAATCAGTGGTGTAAGAAGCAACAGGTGAACGAGCAATATATTTGCTTCCTGAACCATGTGCATAAAATTATAGTAACTACATGATGAAAAGAAAAGACATTTAAAAAATAAAAACAATTCAGTAGAAATCCTACGCAGTAATAAAATAAAATTCTCTCCACGAGCGGCTCAATATCATAAGATCTCAATCTATATGTTTCAATAAGTTCCATTTCGATAAGCCAGGAGGATTTCAAATTAACTGTTGTTTCTACAAATAAATATCTGCTATAGATATAGAAACCCTTTGGTTACATGCATAACTAATATCTACCAACAGTTTATTTCATACGGCCTTACAGGTTATAAATGATTTCCACATACAATATGGTAGTGAACCATTCACAAATCTATCCCATGTGAACTACAGTAAAATATAAACTTCACAAGAGCACCGTTCCACAGCAACCAGTCTTCAGTCCGGGACAGGACTCGTTGTAAAAAATGCATGCGGTAAAACTACTTTTCCTCCTCCTTACATTCCTGCTTTTGGATTGAAACTTGAACTTGTCTGTACAGTACAAGCAAGCATTATCATGAACATGACAGAAATATAAATCTGCCCTGCCAAAAAAAAGAGAGTGCAGCAATTATTTTTAAAGGTACAGTTTATGCAATTTGTACAATTTTACAGGATAGCCAAAAAACTGAATGTTGTTACCAAGAAAACAAGATTTGTTTTAAAAGTTATCAAAAATTGTATTCTTAAAAATATTGACTTAGAATGTTTGCAAAGAGTTTGTTTTAAAAGTTATCAAAAATTGTATTCTTAAAAATATTGACTTAGAATGTTTGCAAAGAGTTTGTTTTAAAAGTTATCAAAAATTGTATTCTTAAAAATATTGACTTAGAATGTTTGCAAAGAGTTTGTTTTAAAAGTTATCAAAAATTGTATTCTTAAAAATATTGACTTCGAATGTTTGCAAAGAGTTTGTTTTCTTGGTAAAAACATTCAGTTTTTTTGGCTCTCCAGTAAAATTTCTAAAACTGCATATACTGTACTTTTAAAAATGATGGCAAAGTACACATTACCTCTACCTAAAAAAAAAATGAGTAATTCTATTTGATCCTAGTCTACAGAGAGGGTTAAAAAGTAATTTCTCTTGAGACAGCGACACTAAGGAACAATATTTCCTCCCACAGATTTATGAAGGTTCTGAAAACAATGCCCAAAATCTACAACATCGCCAAGTATTCACAACTCAAAACAAACAGCTGTACACGATAACCAAGCATTAACCAACCCAATTAGTTTCTATCCGGAGAACGGCATGCATCTTTAAAAATATGGCTTCCGCTTCCTTGACATAAGCATAATTCTGTTAGTTCTATTCTGGAAATAGCAAGTCACTAATTTAACATAATTTAGACTATGTCCAAAATATTACATGGGAGTTGAGCATGCACCACATTCCTCTCCACTACTCCAACTTCTTCTACAACAAAAGAGCAATAACCCCAGAAACACCCTGATCCTGTAAGCAGTGAGTAATCCATAAAAACATTCATTACTCATCACAGCTATGTAAACTCAGCCATCTTCACCACCGATATTGGCCCAAACAGCGGTACCCTTCAACCACCTATTACTAAAAATGCAATTGAAGCAACTCTTAAAACTACCCCTCTGGGGCAAGCAAGCAATGGTAACTAGCATGTCAAGTTTTGGAACCATTAGAAAATGACTGGGAAATTTTGCAATGGGAGGCAACACAAAGATGTTCAAGGCCTTTATACTTCATGTCTATCCACAATAACAAAAACTCAGAAATTTTAAAAAAGAACATTTATATGACTATAAATATTGTGGTTTATAAAAAGGGATAAGTAATTTTCTGTGAAAGCAATGCAAACATCCAGAGCCCATATGACATACATTGACATGCACTAAATGAAACGGTCAGAGAACTGAAAAAAAACTTCAACATGCTGACAGTCTCTTCTCAAAAACACACCCATTCAGAGATGATGGCCATCCTGTTTTGTTTCCAAAATGAGAGGCTTTGAGAAAATAGAAGAAAGGCTTTACAATATACAGTGACAATATGAACCCTTAGAAGAAAAGGCACATAAGCATATTTAATAAACATAGTGACTGAACTCTTTCACTACCAGGGTGTTTACCTCACCTGGAATGGATCTGATCTGTGACCTACTTTCTGATTCTTCCTACACTCAGATAAATCAAACATTGTGAGTTCAATTTTCAATGTTGGCCATCTGCATTACATATGAAAATAAAGGGGAAATAATTACCTATCTCAACATGTTGCTAAAAATGGCCCTTCTTCAGCCTGAGATTTCAGCTTCAATTATTACAAAAGTAGGACTGGTTTTGAAGCAGAAAATAGAACGCCGTGAAACAGCTCGTGGCCCAGCGTTGGGAGTAACACAAGCCATGAAACATGGCTCGCAGTAGAGAAAGAGTTAAGACAGATAAATAAAGAGACATCGCTTTTTCATAGTTATTTACCATTCACTATTTCTGATGAAAACAAAACAATGTATATGGCTAATTGTTACGTTCTTCAGTGTTATACACAGAAAACGTTAGTTCAACTCCTCCTATTAAAACTCCTCCTATTAAATATGAAGTTGTGGAGATTCTGACACAGGATCCTTGGGCCCAAGTCAAGAGGGAACAATTTGCACACAATATTGTATCCCTTGTGTGGAAGAGTTATTTCATCGCGTATATTCATCCATCAGTCCAATGAGGTGTGTATTTATATCCTACTGACCCAGGGCAAGACAAGACAGGCAGGGTTGAAATGATAAGGGGAAAATTGTTTTATAAAGAGTTTTGAGGCATTTGAAACACAATTACATTATGTGATTGCCAGAGATTAGAGGTGTTACAAGAGAGTAACAAACACAAAAAAGAAGGAGGAGAGATAACAATGATAGATGTCTGATAGGAAAGAAGGAGCAAACCACACCAGAGCACCCATCAACCACCCACAAGGGAAAATAAAGAAGCAAAAATTTAAGCAAGTGCTCTTCTCCACACCCACCAGTGATACATCTGCACGCCAAGTAACGCTATGAATATTATAACAAATCATTGCCAGAAATAATTTTGTGGGGCAGTACAGTTGTGCAGACAAACAAAAGCTACCCTCGAGGTACCACACCACCCTGAACACAGAAAAACCAATGTGGCTGCAAAACCATCAGACTTTATCATCAAATGGGCATCTCAAGTATACAATGGAAACAATGTTGCACAATCAACAAAAGACCCCACAACAATATGATTTACGAGGTTCCATCAAAGAGAAGAAATCACTACCACATGTACAGCCCATAAAACAAAAACACTTCTCCCAAGAGGGTCTGAGTAAAGAGAATCGCATTGACACAGTAATGGCCATTAACTTGTAATAAAACCAAACAAATTTCTCAACAGGGGATTTGAAAAATACTTTGACACAGTTATGGTCATCAACTTTTACGAAAAAAATAAACACTTCTCCACAGAGGGTTTGAGTAAAGAGAAACAGTCATGATCATAAACCTGTGAGAAATAGCATGAAAGACGTACAGAGACAACAAGAGGAAAGCAAACAAGTAAGACCAACCAGTTTCTCCTCCAATCCACCCGCTCTCTACAGTAATTATTGTAATTGCAGGTGTTTACATATCCCCATCTACTCATGATCCGCTTTTCACCGAGGAAGGCAATACAAAGAACCATATGCAAACAACAACAAAATTTTTAATACATAAAAAATTACAAAAAGAAAGAGACAGTCAAGAAATGATGTGTGAGTCACAACATAAGTATACAGGAAATACTTGTTCACACCACAGTACCGCCCTGTACTCACAGCTTTTCATTCTCCCCCCTTGGAACGGAACAAGAAAAAAACAAAAAAAGACAATAGGATTCATTATGCAAAAATATATAAACATTCCAAGCATCTAAGAGTCAGTTCTCTCAGAAATAGTTTATGAATGTTATTACTGCTCAGGAGAATAAAAAGATTCATTCCATTAAGAGAGAGACAGAAACAAAATATTTTTGTCAAGGTCAAAGAATAAAACAGATTCTTTCTATTCTATCAGGTGAAAGAGAAGAGAAGAAAGAATTATTTTGGGTGGGCAAGAGTTCATTATGCTGTCAACATCAGCGGTTGTTAAGCAGCAGTTAAAAGCAAGTGTAAGAGTGCTGTCACAGTTAACGAAAATTACAGATTCATTCTCAAAGGCGGGAGAAAGAAGAAAACATCCAACTGTTTTGGGGAGTTTTTTGAGTCCACACAGATTTCACAACAGATAGCTACCTCGGCGTATCCATTTGCCCCCTCAGAGTGTCCATTCGTCGTTGGCTCCACCACCTGACCACGACTCCCTGAATCTTTTACCTCCATGTTTATCTCCTCAGGGATCTCGTCTGCGTGCTTGTAGGCCGGGGGCCCAACAAGGCTCAGGACAACTGGCAGGAAGGCCAGACCGTGGAAAAGGCCGAAAATGACCACAGACGAGAAGACCTGTGGGTGGAGCAATTGAGGTTATAGGTCAGGGAGTCTGAAGATATAATGTCCCAAGATTCGTACGACGAGGCTTCAACTCTCACACACAAAGAGGCCATGTATGTGATTCATATAAATGATGACATGATTCCCATAATGGTACCATTTGATTCACATAATGAGGCACTATAATCGACATGAGGCCATATGATTCACATAAGGATACAACGTAATTCACATAATGAGGCTTTATAATTCACATAATGTGATTCATATAATAATACAATGAGATTCACATGAGGCCCTATAATTCACATCATGAGGCCAGGTAAATCACATAACGATACAAAGTGATTCACATAAAGATACGATGCGATTCACATGATACAATGCGATTCACATACTGAGGCCGTGTGATTCACAAGTAAGCCAAAGTCTCATGTACTATAAAATAAAACAAGAATAGATAACTTGGACATAACACTCACAAGTGTGCTACCCTGCGTTTTGCCAATTTTCTCATTTTGATATCAGAGTCATCATCAGACATAAAATGTAGACCAATACAGAACAAATACTGTCATGTATAGTAGTAGAACAGTACTACCAATATCAAAGTAAAGTAAAGTAGAAGACAAAAGTAGTAAAAATGCACCCAGTTTATGACTCCCTAAATTACAACTAGTTACTTTGTAAAGGAAAATGAAACAGACATGCTTTTCTTTCTTTTCTTTTTTTTTTTGGCCATCCCTATATGGCGAAAAAGTATAGATAAAGTGTTGTTCAGGGTAGAGCACAAATCAAACGACTGGATAGGGTGCATGGAATACATGGATGAACTTCAAAATACACGAAATACACAAAAAGTATTGCCTAATATAAAATGCACAAAAAAATTTTTTGAAGTGCATCATCAGTTTAGTTTTGGCATGTCTCATATATGTTGATGATATATATATATATTTGTTCAGCGCTATTTACCGATCAGCTGCGCTGCGTGTTTTAACAATCGTATAATTGCACAGCAATCAGAAGATTGCGTTAATATTTTATATCGTTGAAATAATTTTTTTTTAAATTCACTTCCATCTTTATTCTGTTACACACATCAAGGAACATTCACATATATTTTCAAAAGTGTAAAAATATGAAAATTACAATTAAAATTAACATATGAAACTGAAGAGCTCACAAGAATGATACAATGTCAGGTATCAAACTCGAAGTTCACATAGTACATTTAATTTATTTTATATTTTTAAAATAATATTTTTAAATTCACTTCCACCTTTATTTTTTTACTCACATCAAGGAACATTCACACATATTTTCAAAAGGGTAAAAATATGAAAATTTAAATTAAGATTAAAATAAAAATTAACATATGAAACTGAAGAGCTCACAAGAATACAACTATACGATCGTTAAAACGCACAGCACAATCTTAAAATTTCTGGGCAATTATACGATCGTTAAAACGCGCAGATTGCATCGATCTGTAAATTGCGTGGAACATATTAACATGTATGATTATGTCTGAATGTTTAGAATAAGAAAAGACTCACATTTCAGACATTCAGCTGTCAGTAATAAAATGGGAAAGCAATGCATTAACTGGCAAATACTTGTACAATACCAGCTACTTTTGTGGAGAGAATGTAAACAAAAACATTACTCAAAGCTACCAAAATACAGTAAACCAGCACTGACAGCTACCATAAATACAATTGAACCTGTTCTAAAAGCCACCTGAGCAAGATAACGTACAATCGCCTGTTAAAATGACCACTTCCCACTTTCATCTGGCAATTTTATTTTTACTTTATAGTGACAATATGCAAGATGTCCACCTGCCCAAGACAACCAATTTTCACCTCAATAATGGGTAGCTGTCTCAGACAATTTTGATTGTACAAGGCCCATTAGAAAACTTTGTCAAGATACCATAAAAGTTTTCCTTATTTCGCCCAGCTTCACTTGTCGTACAGGATAAGTGGATCATCTACGGATAAGAGCACTTCAGTTGAAGCCCTTAAGGTGTGCATTAAAACGCAAGGAAAGAGTCCAAATACTTTCTAAGCAGTTCAACCACTCACTCTAAAAAACAGCTGAAAGCCATAACTGGCACTGTTGACAAGGAGCACAAAGGCTAGGAAGGTGCTGAGGCCTCCATTGAAAACAGCAGGCCCAATGGTCTTCAACGTCTCAATGGCTCGATCTGAAAAAAAACAAAACCAGAATCAAATAAGCAATGTGACTCTAACTAGAAGCTTTAGAAAGTCTTTTAAAATAGAATTATTAAACAGAACAGCCATTACCAGAAGCTGAAGTCAAAAGCTTTTTTGTTTTTGTTTACATGTACACAATATCACTTCATAGGGAACTCACTCGTTAAAATCAGCCAAAACAGTAAGCAAAAAAGACATGTTTGTAAACTAATAAGCATCAACATACGTCACGCGAATTAATCAGCATTTTACTATGATTTAAATTATAGTCCTCAGTTACTTCCTTTTGACAATAAACACAAATGTTCTCATTGATAATAAAATACATATAACCACCACAAGAAAAATGTGTAACTTTCCTCCAGGTTGACAAGGTAAGCAATCCAAATGATAGTAACATGCCGATTAATTACTTAAATGTATCGTTGTCTCAAAACTATTTTGTCCAAAGTGTTCTTAACAATAGTTCTGGGGCGACGATATGTGGAAAGGTTTTAGTTTTCTAACATGCAATTTGTTGCTTATTGTCGTTGCAAAGTTTTTTTCACTTGACCTTGTGATACACACTTAATTTCTGTCATTCCTGAAAGTCTTGAAGTCATGGGCAAAAAAAGTAAGGGTGGAGTAGAGTAATCAGTTACAATTTCAGTCACCCTTTCCAGTCATAGAGGTGCTACTCACTATTTCTGTCTCCCCTGATAGTCATAAAGGTGTGTCCCACGTGTGCAGAGTAGTCAACAGCCAGACCCACGGACAGCGTGATCAGGATGCTACTGGCCGTCTCGATAGACGTGCCCCACAACTCCAGCACTCCACCAACATCCATCTGGAGAAGAGAGGATTGATTAATTGATTCATTCATTTATTTATTCATTCATTCATGGATTGATTGACTCTTTCTTCTATTTTTACTTTTTGAGACTCGCTGACAAAATGAGTTACTTCTCAGAATTTAACCCTATTGACGTGGATCCATCAAAGTTGTAGGTTGAGTTTGTACAGTTTATTGGTATGAAATAATAAGGCAACGTTAAACTTGAAGAAAATGGCGTTAGTTGAAAATCTACAAATTTGACCTATGTGTCAATTTTCAGCCAATATCTCAATTCGCGGATTGCGAGAAGTAAACCATTCTGTCAGCACACCTCATATTTATTTATAGATTCATTCATTCATTCATTTATTTATGAGTAGATTCATTCATTCATTCATTTCTTGATTGATTAATTGATTGACCAATCATTAACCTTGTAATTCTTATCCACACACCTAATAAATGGGGTGGGCTGCTTAACCTCGTTTGTCAGGCCAACCCATGCTGAGATGGATGCATGGACACAGTCAATAAAATTAATTTTTCTGAAAAGCAAGAGATCCAAATAACTAGAAACACGCTAGACTGCCATCACGTTGCAGTTAACTTTCACTTTATACAATAGAGAGTATGATGACCATTGCCTTTAGGGTTAAAAAGAACACTCATAAGAAGTAAAAGGAGCAGACAACACCAGAGTCTCACCAACCACACACTTCAGAATAACAATTCAGACGATATTAATTTCTTCATTCCATCAATCAGCTACTCATTCATACTATCATTTACTCTTTTATTCATTCACTAATAAATTCACTCATTCATCAATCTATCATTTATTCACTTATTAACTCATTCTTCATGCACTTCTTCTTTGATGAATTCATTTGCTTGCTCATTCATTTATTCACTCATTCACCAAGTCCTCTACACCACTGGGACAATGAAGTATCATTTCATCTTATCTCACCTTGTTCCTTCATTCATTTTTTCATTTATTCATCCATTCACTCAATCCTTCCTTCAGTGAGCACCTACCACAGTGAAGACCACACAGACAAACACCAGGAGACTGGTCCACAGGTTGGCCACAAGGACAATGGTCACAACAAGCACCGCCGACGCTGCCAGACCCAGGTTCCTCACCAGCTCCCCATACAGAACCTTGAGAAGAAATTAGGGCGTTACATTTATGAAAATTCATCACTGACTCAATATTTGGAAATCTAGTTTTGTAAAGTAAGAGTTTTACGATGCTCGCAACTGTGTACGGTCATATGAGCACACTAAACACAAGTTGGTAGCATTCACAACAGTTCACAGTACGGTTTGGTTTAGGTCAATGAATATATTTTTAAAATTTTACAGTGAAAATTTATATCTTAAGATGACAATTGACATTACATTAAAATAACAGATTACATCTTTGTGTAAAGGCAATGGCCTGATTTGAACTCTAAGGAAAGAGTAGCAAATCACATCAGTATGACTCATTCATTATATGCAATGAAAATGTAAGACAGACAGACAGACAGAAACAACAGAGGGACAGAAACAAAGTAAAACCAACCAATCCCGCCCTCCAACCACCCACAATGCTTAATCATCGCCTCAATTAATGTACATGAGGGACAAAGGGAGCTTTTTAATTTCCTCACAACAAGGAATGATCCTTTTCTTTTACCACTCAAGAACACACATTTCTGGATCAATAACATGAATACACATTTACATATCACGAGAAATATAATAACAGCGGTAAAGCATTGGACATTCTAAAATAATTCTTTGACATATCAAAGAGATTCAGCGAACAATTAACCTCCAGACAACAGAAGAACATGGTTAGATAGCAAGAAAGGAGATGATAAGAGAAAATTTTAGAGAAGAAAGTTTCAGGTTGCATGTCAGGTTTCAAACCCCAGGACCAATTGAATGAAAGGCGAACACCGTAACCTCTAGACCACGAGAGCCCCCAATCTCACCTTGTCTGTTTCATAGCTGAGATAGGCGCGGGCGTAGGAGAAGCACATGTACTCAGGCATGTCTGGCCCCGTAAATCTGGGGAAGCCTGAACTGTCGATCAGATATCTCACTCCATCCATGGATTTGATGCTGTCTTGAGAATTCTCCTCCCTCACATGTGTCAGTGTGATGTACGATCCCTGGGGAAAGGAAGATTCGTTTCAGGAACTGAATGGGTGGTTGGCAGGTGCTCTGGTGTGGTTTGCTCCTTCTTTCTTATCATTCATCTATCGTCCTTTTCTCCCCTCCTCTTCAGCACTTATACGGCCTAATTGTGTTGCAAGTGCAGTAAAACACTTACTAAAACAAAACAAATTTCATGAACTGCTTGCCTCCTCCTAAGTTTTGTTTCACAAAAAGACTTCTAAAGTTCTAAACAAAATTAGCCAAACTAATTCAGACTTGGAAAAAAACAATCCTATTCTTTCGAAGACTTGCAAAAAATTGTAGCTTTTCTCTCTCCTTTCCTCAACCCCTTCCTCCACAACCTTCTAATAACAAGTTGTTGGAATAGTAAAAATACCTCAAACTTCACACTTTCAATATTATAACAGGGTTTTGTTTCAGGTACTAAAAATCCAATTGGCTGAGGGTAGTTTTTTTTTTTTTTTCTTCTTAAAAGAGCTTAAAAAATTACTTATGAAAGTGTGCTATGGCTGAGGAGATAATTTCTCTTACCACAATGGACACCGGTTCTGATGTGGAGTTGAAGTTGACAAAAGATGAAAACCTCTGTCCCATGGGAGAGCGCAGAAAACCCCACAAAGTCTTGTAATATTGTTCCTCTGAGGTAATATTTATTCCTGAAACAGACAAATTGTTGCCATCAACTCTCCCATCACAAGGACTGAAATAGACAAATTGTTGCCATCAACCCTCCCATCACAAAGACTGAAATAGACAAATTGTTGCCATCAACTCTCCCATCACAGCAACTGAAAAAAGACAAAATGCCATTAACCCTCCCACCACAGCGACTGAAAAAAGACAAAATGTCATTAACCCTCCAATCACAGTGACTGAAAAAGACATATTGCTGTCATTGACCCTTCCTCTATAGCAATTTAAGTCCAAGAGAATACATAATCAGTATTCTATAAACTATTTTTAAAACAGAATTGAATATCGTTACTGTGGCAAGAATACCGAGCACTATTTTTTAACTTAAACCATACAATGACAATGGGTACAAACAGAATTACTCAATTTCCTCGCAACAAGGAATGACCATTTTCTTATACAACACACACACATTTCTGGATTGATAACAACAGCAACCTGAATAGATAACAAGGAACACACATTTACACATCACGAGAAATACAATAATCAAACAGCACTAAAAACAATCAAATTAATATCTTCCGTTAGGACAACTGGGGAAACTCGAATAAAAAACAGTAACATTTTTTTTTTTTAATGACTTGCACGAAATCATAGTAACTTAAATTCATAATCATGAACCACCCACCTGACGTGACAAGATAATTGTGGTATGCTGAAAACCAGGAGTTGATGGTTCCATTCTGAACATATCTGCTGTCCACCAGCCTTTCCTGGAGGACGTCCAGGCGACCTATCTCGTGGAAGTAGTTGAAACCGCCTGCAAGCACAAGGCATGCATAGTTGTATGGATTCAAAACCACCTTCAACACTGGAAAGTTATTTTTCTCAAAAGCACAAAAAACACAAAAAAAGACTGGGACGCTCACTGGAAGTTAATTTTTCAATGAGACCATAACACCTTGAGTAAAAGTTTCTATAATACACATTGGTAAAATTTTTTCATCTGAATATCTTGGGTCAAGGATGAAAACATTACATAATCCACTATGACATTTCCCATTGTATGAGTGGCTTGCCCATAGCCTTTTACACTAAACGATGCATTCACATACATCTAAAAATCACAAAGTCAACAGGGATAAAAACACATTGATAATTATAAATTATTGAAAAGTAGAAGAAAAGCAAGCTTGCTCATGCCAACAGTAAAGGACAATGTTTTTTCATTAATCTCTACTCAAATAATAAAATTTCCAACTTCAAAGTATTCATTTTTCTTGGAATTCAGAAAAAAAACCTTCTAAAAACAAATAAAAAGTTTTAAATGCTTTGCTTGTTTTTTCAAAGCAAGGGGAAAAACGATGGACTGTGTAAAATAGTATTGACTAGAAGAATGGAAGGAAAAAGAGCCAGAGGAGGAACAAGACACCAACAGTCAATTATTACTAAAGACTGGACATGAGAAGAAGGCCAGCTGAGTGCCTGACAACAGAACAGGACAGATTGGCTTGGGGAGCCTACGACAACAGCAAACAATAACACAAAATAGAAGAAACTGATAAACTTACCGCAGTAAATACTTGCGTCTCTTCCTTGCTCTTCAAAGTAAGCTTCCTGAGCTCTGGTAAACGCAAAGGCATATGAGTCACTGGGTAGGTACAGGGACACATCAAAGTTCTGATCCATCTTGACAAATCGCCAAATGCCGAGGGAAGCCATTGCCACAGCCAAGAATATGATAAAGATCTGTGCAAAGAAAAAAGATGTTAAATGAAACCTCAAATTAAAGAAACCCTACTAAGCAGAAATTCAGATAGTATATCATGATGCATAATAACAAATCCTTCCCCTCTTTCCTGTTGTTGTCAAATGAGTCAAAAACAAAAACAAAAGAAAAACCCAAAACACTCACTATCTTGGAGAGAACAATGTTTATCCCGCCAAGCCCTGCACCAGTAGTGTCAGAGAAATTGTGCAATTTTGTTGGACAATGCTTGAGAACAAGCAAACCAAGCTAATAAAGGAGCGTATTCATTTTCAGAAAGTATTGCTCATTTGAGAAATTGCTGAACAAAATTTACGACCCAATAAATCAGCCGTCGATACTAGGAGGGTAAAACAAGAGACAAGCAAAAGAGCAAAAGGAGCAAGTGAGACCATAGTTTCTTTCAAAACCCAAAAAAATCTCTCAGAAAAAAACAAAAACAGAAGCTCAAAACAAATATAGCCGAAATTGTCCAAGATAGCCACCATATGTATAAAAATGATTGTCATAGACAAATGGACGCCTTGGAAAAATATGCCCCAAAAAAAGCAAGGGGAGAAGTGGGAAGTAGTCGTTTGTACTGTGATTACCTTAGACAGGTGACGGTAAGAGCAGTTTGGACTATACAAATTGTCATGTTCTCCTGAGAAAGGAATAACTCAAATTTCTTTTTCATTCAAACAAGGTCAAATGGAGTTGCTCATTTGTGTTGGGAGAGCAATGAAATCAGCGTATGGACTAAACACTTAACACTACTTACTTTGACAGGCAGGCGTGTGATGAAAGGGCCATAAAATTTCCCAAAGAAGGTTTGTATGATGGACTTTCCTGTGCTGCATTCATACGGCTCGTACGTTGACGAGTGTCGGTAACAACATAAGCAGGCATCACGACGCGCTCGCCGCCTTCGTTCGTCGAGAGCTAAGGCCCCGATGAACAGTGTAGACACCAACAGGTACAGTGCTAGGATACCCAGGGTGGCATACAGGCAGAAAGAGCTGAGGGCAGGAATTACCTGAAGGGGAAAAAAAAAAGAAAAAAATTAAGATGAAAACATAATTTTCTCCCAACTTTAGACTATCAAAGCAGGCTCATATGACCTTATGCAGTCATGAGTGCTGTAATTACCCATTTTAAAAAAAATACTATCAAAGCTTTATCACTGTTCAGGGTAACAGATCAGAAGCTGAAATATTTCATAGCTACAGTCGAACCTGTGTAAGACGGAATCGCAAAGGAAAAAATTCCTTTAGACATTCTCCGTCTTAGACAGGGAAATTTAGGGAGGGGGGGGTTCAGAGGCCCAGCCGGTGGGAATAAGGGTCATTTGTCCGGTCGGCAAGCAGTTGTCAAAACTTCACACCTCTCAACTGCTATCCAGTCTGATGAGGACACGCGTCAGTCTTACTTATCCAATTGCCACCAGTGCTTCCATTTTGTAGGACCACTGACCTATTAAAAACAGAAACGTTTGAACATCTCCTTTGCTTCTACCCTTAGCCTCACCCATCGGTGTAACAACAAGCACAGTCAACCAATGCCACCCCTCACTGCCATGTAACAATGATTCGAGGAACTCTTTTCTAGGCAGGTCATACAATCAGAGCAGCAAGCATTGGTCATACTGATTTCACATCTCTAGCTTCTGGCTACCCAGGAAAGTTTTCGTAGTGGCTCGCTACTGGAGCACTTTCACTGGCACTTGTGAGATTTCACACCCATACTTCCCTGAGCATCTGCGTCGCTCAGGGCTCACATAGATGGGGTAACATATCTACCCCAAAATTGCACCCCTATTCCCCTTCCTCGCCCGGCGGCATGGCGTTAAGTTAAGAGTCGGCGGAACCAAACTTGCGAGTTTTGTTTCAAATCAGGGCTGGATGGGAAAAAGCATTTTCCGTCTTAGGCAGGTAAAACCTTGGAAGGAAGCGGATTTTTCTTTCCGTTTCCATGTTGGACAGCTTTCCGTTTTATAGATCTACAGGTATTTAAAGAGGAATATATCAAGAGGGGAGCAGGGAGATTCTGTTAAGACAGGATTCCGTTTGACACAGGTTTCCGTTAAGGCAGGTATATTAGAGATACCAGCATTAAAAAAAACAGTTTCAGATGTAATAGCTGCATAGTATCACTTATGGTTTGACTCTTTGCCATTGTACACAAAATACTCAAGCTTGATTCCTTGGGTGGGGAAATTCTTTATCCAGAACCTCCCTCATCTGTCTGCCGGGATATTGTACCTCATTGAGCTTGGGTTGACACTAACAAGAGGGTCAGAGCAAAACACCTCCTAACCTATACAAGATACTCTGCATCAGAGGAATGACAGAGATACTCAATAAAATATCTTTCACACACGGCAATAGAACTCGATATCTTTTGAACACAATCATGTCCAATGATACAAAATCACTTACAGTAGTGGCCCCGATGCCAAATGCCACCATATCCGTGATGGACGTGACTGTGATGGAGACACCGGCCCGGCTCAAGGTCACGGCTATTTTGTTGGGGGTCTCCAGCTTCTCTTCCTCCGGGCTCAGGTTCTTCCACGTCTCGATTATCACAAACATATCATCCACACCGATACCTGGCAAAGGAAAGAAAAACACAAGTACAGTGGTCTCAGTCTAAGAACTAGACGCCTTGAAACTCAGTCTGCCTCAGAGCTTTTGTTTTGGTTTAGTAAGAGTTTTACGGCACTTGCAACACAATTAGTTCATCTTGTTCTTGTTTAGTTTTAGTAGAGGTTTTATGGCGCCCGCAACTGCATAAGGTCATACGAGTGCCAGAAGATTAGAGGTGTTACAAGAGAGTAACAAACGTAAAAAAGAAGGGGAGATAAGGACGACAAATGTTCGATAGGAAAGAAGAAGCAAACCACACCAGAGCACCCGCCAACCACCCACTAGGTCATCTTGTAACACAGTTAAGTCATATATAAAAGCCAATGACTGGACTGCCATAAGCTGACAAAACGCCTTTTTTCAGTTTTCCGCCAAAAATTTTTATTTGCAAAATTGAAAGCCTGATCAGTTACCCTACTTGTGTAAAAAAATCAAAGTGAAACTGAGACTAGTTTTTGAATAAATCAAAATAAAAATTTCAAAATCACTCTATTTCTAAATGGTTTGGCTGACAAAAAACCTCTTTATCTCGAAACTGCTGTGGAGAAAAAAGGTGTTTTGTCAGCTTATGGCAGTAGAGGTGTTACAAGAGAGTAACAAACACAGAAAAAGAAAGAGAGGTAAGGACAACAGGTGAGTCAAAGAGCTTGTTTTTACGTCTTGACATAAAATGTTTCTTTGTGATCTACAAATGTACGAAAGAGGTAAATAAGGATCAACCTGCTTAAAAACCAGGCATTATCAGAGTGGCAACCTCCAAACTCATTTTGTTATAAAGCCCTTAACAAATTCCAAAACAAGTCCACATGCATCTCAGCTCAGCCATACCTAAGAGCAGAAAAGGCATGATGGTCTGTATAGGGCTGTAGATGATGTCCAGGGCAGTGGCAATCCCGTACGCCACTAGGATGGACAGACCCACACACGCCATGCCACTCAAAGAAATATAGATCTGTTGAAGAACAACATACATCAGAAAAATATTAAATTTAAAAAAAAAAAGAAAGTCACAGAACGATATACGTGTGGTGAATGACAAGAAGCACAATACATGTACTAATAATAAAAACAAAACATTTCAGTTTAAAGATTGTCTTTCCCTCATCAAGCCACTCGGAGAAATAGAACTGAGAACTGGTGACAAAAAACAACAGTACAACACCACTCAAATATTTCATTGGAAATTGCTTTATTCTCTTTAACTGTTTTTATCCTGGCAAACGGAGTTTACGACACTTGATTCAGAGTCACTTTCATCAAATTAGTCTCATTCCCCCTCACAACCCAGCACCACTTCAAGAAGTACTTTGTCAGTCGTGAATGTGCATTTTCGAGATATCTTTCAAGCTTCTACACACATCAAAAACAAAGAAACCGCTGTTCATTGGAAAATGTAAATATTCTGACAGAGCTAGCATCGCCGTATTTGTGTATTTTGGTAATAACAAGCAGAACTAGCTGTTAAACGTGACCGTATAGCTGTTTCGAGTTTACTCGTAGCCCCGACTGGTCCTCTTTATGAGTATACTTGTAGCCCAGATAAAAATAGTTACAAGATAAATATCCGTTTTGCAACAAAAGTCAATTAAAAATAATAGATACACCAAATATATCATTTCTAAATTTTATTTTCATGTTGCAGCAAAAGAAAATGTGCCCTGTCCTAATAAAGACTGTAACATACGTGTCATGACATGGTAGGATCAGGCACTCATCAATTTTTGCACATATGGAAATATTTGTATCATCTAATAGCCTCTTCATTTGTCTTGCTTTTGACGAAAAAAATATCCATCTATCTTGGAATAGAAGTCGAGATATTTAGGATTGAAGGTGGTAGGGTCGTCTGGTTTCAGACGTAAAATTAGAGAGAAAATGGCCGCCAAAGTATGCCAACTGCCATAGCTAGAAACTCCTTGGGTGCTGGAAATGTTCACTTTTTGTGTTTTTAAATGGACCTAAAAGGTGTTGAACCATTTTTTTTCCCAAAAAAAAAATTCTCAAACCGGTGGAAAAATGCTGGTCTCTTTGATTTCATTATTTTGACGAGCGCCTGATTTCACCACGATGTCTCACATATTTTCAATGTTTAACGCCTCATCAAGGCAATGTAAATTATTGAGGAATCGAGCCAATTCAATCCTGTCTGTCAAGGTCAATCCAGTCTGAGTGGGAAATGGAATCCCAACAAACAGACGGAGATACAGTTGAACCTGCTGTAACCAAAACCTGCCCAAGACAATCACCCATACAAACTAACACCTCTCCTTACTCTTTGCAATTTTAGTATATCATGTCAATGTCTGAGACTTAACCTACAAGTAGGTAGCGTAAACACGGTCTTGCGGGCACTCGCGGCCTTCCGACCGCGTGGCATTGGTGAAATCGGGGTAATTTCAATCGTTGTTTCTTTGCTCTTTCGCTATAAAACACAAAATGCTGTACACCTTGTAAAAGTTCAGCTTTTCTTCGTTACAATGGTGTAAGTTGTTTATATGTCCGATTATTAGGAGCTGGAGAATCGCCGAGGAAAGCGTAGCCCCTCGTGGTCGGCCGGTTAAAAAATTGACACGCGTGCATTCAAATGCTTCGCTAAACGAGGGATGATTAAATACCGTCTTTTCTTCGGCAGAGAACTGTAGAGTTTTAAACGGGCTTTCCCGAGGTATATTTTTAACCATTGGCCTTTAAATAGAAAGCCTTTAAAAACACCGTCTAAATTTTTTAAGATAATTTTTTACACGAAATATGTAAAATGCCGGCTTTAAAAAAGTATTAATTAACTCTTATCCTGTGTCTGTGCCCAGATGCGTATCTTATCAGCAACCGATTACGTCGGACGTGCCGGGCAGGCCGCCGGGGTCACTCAGTGTGTACTGTTGGTGTACAGAGCGCGCGCCGGGAAACGTGTGTTTTCGCCATGAATACTGCGGGAGTGTGTTAACTGATGATGAAAATAACGCTCTATCTTTCATAGCTTTTTATTTATAAAGTGTTACAATCACATGAATAACCCCCTCTCACAAGCTGATAAGACATTACGAGTAGTTACGCCCATTCGAATAACCTTTCTGGACGCTCTTGTTGTTATGATTGACCTGAGGTTCGAGTTCGAAAGGGGATAATTTAGGTCAATTTCCGAATGTTTTACCCTCTAATTGTTCTTTGCACCTGCACAATGGTATTCAAAACTATCAAACAAGCTTATTTTTTATCAGGTAGTATCATTTCATACAAAATCAAGCTAATTTGAAATATTTGGTATTGAAAAAATGGAAGTCTTGTTTCCTGGCTATCTAAGTGGGTCAATTTCTTCTATAATTTCATTGGACGAACATCTGGAGCCACCAACTTCGCATGTTTTCAATGAGACGTATGCCTTGATTACGAACCAACGCAGGTGGTTCTAGAAGAAGGCCACAAACACACACAAACTCAATCAGACTGACGCACACACACTTGACCAGCGTGAATGAGGATCCGACTCAGGACCCGATTGACACGTAAGAGGATGTGCGCTGCGAGTGCGCTGAGCCAGGTGCTACACTGATTCGGGACCAGAATGTAGGCGAGGTGCCGAAATAGGCTTATCGGGAGACATAAACCCGGCTCCCGCAGGATGAGGGTTAAAAAATCAGTTTATTTCCTATTAGAATAAAGTAATCAGTTTGGAATTATTTTGCATCAATCATTCCGCGAGACTCGGAAAGCATGTGACCCCCCACGCGGGGTACACTACAGTATGGAGCCGACTCACTCGCCGCTGGAGGCCGGTGCGGCGCCGCCCGGGTCAAAGCTCATTGTTTTTGTCGAAATAACGATAGATCATCGTGTTTGAGGCGATAAAATACTGATTTGTAATGCACTCACAGTCTTGAAAAAAATTAGGCTCCATATATTTGTTATAGTGATTGTACTGTTAATGTGGAGATGTTTTATGCATTTGGTACTCTTTTATTATCTGTCAAACATGTGGTTGCAGCCAGTGACTGACTTTAACAAATTTGATCAAATTTTAAACAAATACCATTTTCTTAAAAATTGACTGAGAGGTTAAAGAATGGTACCAAAATGCTCAGTGGATATAGGCCTTTCAAACGGAACCGATAAATTTGGCATACAGCTACTTTGAAAATTTAGTTTCTGGTACCTACTACAAAGGACAACCACTTTTCTCCTCAAAAATGGGTGGTCATCTTAATCCATTTCGACAGAACTTGATAAAATAATGTAGCCTACCCAGAATCTGACCTACATCTTTTGCATGCAGTTGGGAAGAACATAGCCATTCATCCCGATCGCTGGTAAAGACGGTTACTGTCTAATATTCTCAATACTCAATTATTTTGAGTGAGATAGCCTTCCGTACCTTATGTTCAATGAGATTAAATTTCCCCAGGGAGAGAATCACATAGATAAACACAATGCTGAACCCAGCGGTGAGCAGTTTGATGTCACTGTTTATGGCTCCAAAACCCTCATCATCAAAACTGGGGAAGATAAACAAAGAGAGACAGAAAAGGGTGTGATAAAAAGAGGCTCAGTTTTTCACTCACATAAGTGTCACAATATATAAAAATTACAAATAAGAATACCGGAAATAAAAAATAATATGTGTATCCTTTTTACTACTGTCTTAAGATATAAAAGAATTACTACTCAACCAGTTTGTAGTTTCAATTTACAGTGGAGTTCAGAAAGTTTTGTCCACTCCTATGTACAGTTTCTCATCAATACTAAAACTACCTTTGCCACTGTGAATGATGTATAAAGGACAACAGTGAGCATTCCTGCAAAAAATTTTAGTCTTGAGTACATAGAAAAGTACAATATCACTCAAAAATCAAAAAAGAATTTGTTGAATTACATATTTGACTATTTAAAAAGTAACCTCTTTCTATAACAGAACAAAGATTTACCTTACATTTTTTAAAATGTTACGTGCAAGCCATAAAAGCATCAACTCATACCTGCGGATTAGTTTCAACTTACCTGCGGCTGGCATAGACATAGGTCTTTGATATGTTCTCATGGCCTCTAAGAGCCATGTCAATCATTTTCTTTTCGAACCCTGCAGCGTCTGAGTTCTTACACAGACAAAAAGAAGAAAAAATAAACAGAGTAAGATGAGACTTAAAAACAGCACTTTGAATTCATCACTACATTTCAATGAAAAAGGACGATAGCTTAATGGTACAAAAAGTAAAATCAAAACTTCAAAATCCTCAAACAGACCTATACACTGACTTGTCAAAGCAGTAAACCCTAACAGTCCTCAGAGCCTAGAAAATTATACAAACAAAATTTCCTCAAAGAAACGATACAATTTATTATCCGTTCCTCAAACAGAAGACAGAGATTCATATCATCATAATACAAGATGCGTTTCAACAACACACACAAAATCTTGTGTTAAGCTCAACACTGCAAATCAAGCTAAATGGGAGGAGTGACCCATGGGGACCATTTTCTATGTTTGTTGCCCAAGATCAAATCTAAGTACACATATAAGTTAGGCATAGGAATATCTCTCAATACACAATTTTATTTTGGCATAGCTACAGCGGATGCTATGGAAACAGCCGCCATCTTGAAAATAAACAATGAATTTCAAATCCCTACGGCTTTCTTATTTACGGATCAAATTTGACCAAATATGGTGAGAGTATACCTGAACCAGTCCCTATCAATGTAATAGACAGGGTTTTTTTAATGAGTGCAAAAGAAAGAAAAAATCTGAGAATTTTCCCAATGTATAAAAATTCTTTTCTGAATTTAGGTTGCATTATCGCTTGCCAATGGAAAAGCATTTTTTTTTTCCTCAAATATCTGTTTCCTGAAAGTTTCATGTTAAAAGGATGAAAACTAAGGAAGGAGTAGGGAAAAACTGCAAAAAAATGACATTTTGAAAAAAACGACAATTATTGTGAAAATTCACTATATTTTTAACTCTCCCTGATGTTTTCAAAGGCAATTTACCAGGAGAATAAAGACTTTTTCAGATGTCTCCTTGCTATTTTTAGAAAAAGAAGTGGTTGATCTTCAAAATTCAAGCAACATCTCAATTTGCATAGCTTGACCGAAAATCTACCAAACTGAGGGTCGCTCCTCCCCTTAACAGGTCCATAGTCTTAAACATAATATACATGTTCCCAGTCAGTTTATCTGGGGCGGGTTACAGAACAGTTTCCATACAATTCAATTTGCTTCCTCTTAATGAAAGCAATAAGAAAAGATCAACCCAGATCAATGTGGGTAAAAAAAAAACCCAAAAAAACACAGGATGTAACTCAATTCTGAAACATAATAATATAGTCTTGCACGACTGATAAAAGCATTTCCTTCCACTTGTTGAGATTCAACTTGTTTTATTTTTTTGTTGGGTTTTTTTTGGGGGGTGAGGGGGGTTCTTTTTTTGGG